ACACATACACACACACGTGTACAAGTAAACATCCCCCCCCATACAGACATGCATATATCCCATACACACATACATGCACACACAAACTCTCTCTCTCTCTCTCTCTCTCTCTCTCTCTCTCTCTCTCTCTCTCTCTCTCTCTCTCTCTCTCTCTCTCTCTCTCTCTCTCTTTCTCTCTCTCTCTCTCTCTCTCTCTCTCTCTCTCTCTCTCTCTCTCTCTCTCACACATACACACACACACACACACACACACACACACACACATATACACACTCACAAATACATACACACACACTCACAAATACACACACACACACACACACACACACACACACACACACACACACACACACACACACACACACACACACACACACACACACACACGTACACACAGACACGTGGAGAGAACGACAAAGAAGCTGAATTGTGAATGAGTCATGAGAGCCAAGTGTAATATATCAGTCACAAGTTTAGAGAGAAACTTCATAAACAGTTCATTTCTTCTTATTCAATTCCTATTTCTTCCTTTCTTCTTATCTTTTCTTCTCATTTTGTTCCTTCTATTTCTTGTTTCTCTTTCTATCTTGTTTTGTATATTTACTTCTTGGTTTTTGTTGTTGTCTCTCCCTTTTAACTTTTTTTCAGCTTTTCTTTTTTTTTTTTCCTTTTTTTTCTTCTTCTCTTTCTTCTTCTTTTTCTTGTTCTCCTTCTCCTTCCACTGATTACCGTTCTACATTCTTTTCCTTCTTTCTTTTTTCTTCTAACACTTTATCTCATAACTTTGCATTACAGTTATTATCATAATATCATTGTCATTATTATTACAATTATCACTATTACTGTTATCATTATCCTAATAAGGAGGAGCATATCTTCTATTATAATTACGATTATCATTGTCATTGTCATTATTATTGTTATTATTGGTATTATCATTAGCATCAGCAATATTACTATTGTCGTTTTACTAGTATTATTGTTACTATTGTCAATGTTCATATTACTATTTTAATTATTATAATTATCGCTATCATTTTTGTTACCATCAGTATTATTATTAGTATCATTATTTTAATGATAATAATAATAATTATTATTATTGTTGTTATCATCATTGTTGTTGCTGTTGTTTTTATTATTATTATCATTCTTCTTATCATTATTACTTCTATCATTATTCTTGTTCGTGCTATAATTATTATCTTAATCATAATTGGCATCATTATTATTATTGTTAGCATTATTATCTGATCGTAATAATTATTATTGTTTTATTATTATTATTATTATTATTATTATTATTATTATTATTATTATTATTATTATTATTACTATCATAATTATTATCACTCTAATTATTATCTCGATTTCTTATATTTTTATTGCTAATATTATTATTTTATTATCATGTTATTTTATTGTTTGTCTCATAATTATAATTGTTATCATTACTATTATTCAAATTATTATTGTTTTTATTATCATTACCACTATAATTGTTATCAATACCATTATCAACATTATAATTACTGTTATTATCATCATTATCATTATCATCATCATTATCATAACCAATATTATTATCATCATTACGACTATTTTCATTATTATTATCATTATTATTATTGTTAATGTTATTATTGCTATGGATATATATATATATACATATATATATATATATATATATATATATATATATATATATATATATATATATATATATATATGTATATATATATGTATATATATATATATATATATATATATATATATATATATATATATATATATATATATATATATGTATATATATATATATATATATATATATATATATATATATATATATATATATATATATATATATATATATATATATATATATATATATATATATATATATATATATATATATATATATATATATATATATATATATATATGTATATATATATATATATATATATATATATATATATATATATATATATATATATATATATATATATATATATATATATATATATATATATATATATATATATATGTTGATATATATATATGTATATGTATATATATATATGTTGATATATATATATATATATATATGTATATGTATATATATATATATATATATATATATATATATATATATATATATATATATATATATATATATATATATACATAGAGAGAGAGACAGAGAGAGAATAGGAAGAAGAGAGGAAGAGTCGACGAGAGACAGAGACAGAGTGTGAGTGTGTGAGTAATATCGATTAAAACATGCACGCAAAAAAAGTCATTTATCGTATTACTTTTTCATCTCTTTCGGGCGCTCCTCCCTCGGCCGCCCAATCGCCGAGGATTCCATTTAAAGCCGCCGCTGGAGAGATTCTCAATGAATGCAATGTAAAAGCCGCTATATTTCTATTTCATTGATTTTTCACTTTTATCTCCTCCCTCCTCTTTTTTTCTCTCTCTCTCTTTCTCTATCTAT